ACCCCTCTGACACAAAAGGCAACCATCACCTCCCTCCTCATCAACTCCCTGTACTTGACCCACAAGAGAAGATATATGTACTAACAGCCAGTGGCGGATCCAGAGCCTGATCTCGGGAGGGGCACTTGTAGATTATTTAAATAAATAATCCAGGCACAATAACCACTACAGCTCAGTGTAGTAGTTATGGTGTCAGTAGTGCCAGGATTCCACCCCAGAGTAAGTAGTCATACCGTTTAAGAACAGTTTAACAACTTACCTGGGATCTGCTGGGATATAGGCTATAGGAGCAGTGGTGTGTGTTAAGGGTAAAAGTGTGTGAGTGCGGCAGTGTATGTCAGGGTTGTAGTGTGTGTGTTAGGGGGCAGTGTATGTATGGGGGCACTGTATGTGTTTTTGGGGCAGTGTGTGTATGGGGGACAGTGTGTGTATGGGGACAGTGTTTGTGGGGCAGTGTGTGTGTATGGGGACAGTGTTTGTGGGGCAGTGTGTGTATGTGTGGGCAGTGTGTGTATGGGGACAGTGTGTGTATGGGGACAGTGTTTATGGGGACAGTGTGGGGCAGTGTGTATGGGGGCAGTGTGTGTATGGGGACAGTGTTTGGGGCAGTGTGGGGCAGTGTGTGTATGGGGACAGTGTTTGTGGGGTGTGTGTATGGGGGCGTGTGTGTGTGTATGGGGGGCAGTGTGTGGGGGGACAGTGTTTGTGGGGCAGTGTGTGTTTGTGGGGTGTGTGTATGGGCAGTGTGTGTATGGGGACAGTGTTTGTGGGGCAGTGTGTGTTTGTGGGGCAGTGTGTGTATGGGTGGCAGTGTGTGTATGGGGACAGTGTTTTGTGGGGCAGTGTGTGTGTGTGTACGGGGACAGTGTCTGTGGGGCAGTGTGTGTATGGGGACAGTGTTTGTGGGGCAGTGTGTGTATGGGGGGCAGTGTTTGTGGGGACAGTGTTTGTGGGGCAGTGTGTGTATGGGGACAGTGTTTGTGGGGCAGTGTGTGTATGGGGGGCAGTGTGTGTATGGGGACAGTGTTTGTGGGGCAGTGTGTGTTTGGGGGGCAGTGTGTGTATGGGGACAGTGTTTGTGGGGCAGTGTGTGTATGGGTGGCAGTGTGTGTATGGGGAGAGTGTTTGTGGGGCAGAATATTTATTTTAAAAATGTATTATAAAAAAACCTCCTCCCCCCCCCATTACACATACTGCCCCACAAACACTATCCCCATACACACACACTGCCCCCCTGTAATGGGGCAGTGTGTGTAATGGGGGGGGAGGAGGCTTTTTAATAATAATTAATAAAAAAAAATTAAAAATTTAATAAAATAAATATGTCCCCCCTCCCTTCTTACCTTTATTGAGCAGGAGGGGGGACATTTCTCCGTCCCTGGTGGTCCCAGTGGTGATTCCCTGGTGGTCAGGTGGTCAGAGTGAACTCTAGCCCACGCTCCCGGGCTAGAGTTCACTCTCGCGAGATTTGGAGCGTTGCCATGGTAACCGCGGCAACGCTTTAAATCCCGCGAGAGGAGGACCCGGAGGAGCTGCAGACTGAGCTCCGGGTCCTCTCTCTCACTCCCTCCCTCGCCGGCCGCCAGCACAGCGCCTGCGGACCGGGGAGGGAGAGCTCTGATCTCCCCTCCGGTCCGCAGGCACATTGCACGGCTGGCACTTGGGCAATGCCAGCCCTGCGTTAGCCAGCAGGGGGGATCTCGGGGGGGGGGCAATTGCCCCGTTGCCCCCCCCCTGGATCCGCCAATGCTAACAGCTATTCTGGTTCAACACTTAAATGTTTTCATGCATGTATACTGTTTTATGTGATGATTGTTTTAAATAATTGTTACGATGTGATTCCATATGTCATGCCATTGTCATATTCACAGATGCTCGCGACCGACCACGGGCCCTACCTTAGATAGTCCCCCTATACAACTACTGCCCATCCTCCAACTACTCTAAACTTAATAATCTGGATTGGCTTTCTGGAGCCACATTTTCCCGTAACACACTACCTATCCCCACACCTGGGGAGCTGCAGTCCTCACTGCACAACCTCCATATTCCGCGCCACTGAGGCGAACTCACTGACTCAACCTTAAGGTCCAGGTGACCTATCCCAGGTGCACACTAGATACCCGGGTGGCCTATAAACCTCACCCAGAGTAAACCACCTAACGATACCCCCAAATAACCTACACCCAGTGCTGCTGACAACAGAAACATTAGGCAGCGAATTCCTTTGTACATAGTTCATCGTTCTATATTTTTCTTCCTACTCCCGTTCCCTCCCACACCCATCTCCAATACTACACCTCCCCCCCGGAAACCACCGCCTGTAGGGAAGACCGGGAGGGGACTCGCCCTCGCCCCCCCCCCCACAGATGGCCACGATACGGATTATCACACTCAATGTTTGGGGTCTCAATACACCTGAAAATGATCTCTGACACTTAAGGAAATACACAAGTTGAAGGCAGGTGTTGCCTTCCTCCAAGAAACACACTTTAAACATACGGCAGCACTGACACTACGAAATAGACACTTCCCAACCGGATATTTTAGCAACTTCACCAAAACCAAAACTAGAAGGGTAGCAATACTAATCTCATCACATTTACCCTTCCTGTACTCCTCTCACAAAACTGACGACTCAGGCAGATTGCTGCTGGTCAAAGGCCAGATCGGCCAAACCGCAGTCACCTTTGCAAACACATATCTCCCCAACAGACGTCAATGTAAGACACTTAGAAAACACCTCAAAATCATTGAACAATTCGCGAAGGGCATCCTATTATTTGGAGGAGACTTCAACTTATCACTAGATTCACTCCTAGACACAACCTCCCAAACAACAAGATATAAGAAATCAGCACGCCAGCAAATGACAACATTACTAGATCAAGCCCAACTAGATGATGGCTGGCGCATTACCCACCCGACTGATAAAGACTACTCCTATTAGTCACACGTATCACACGTATATTCCAGGCTGGACATGGTCTTTGTCCCGCATAGATTCCTTCACCTTATCCAATCCAGCAGATCAATAACGTGGTCAGACCACGCACCCTTGTCCCTAGACATAAAGATCCCCACTTTACCGCACAAATCATTCCAATGGAAACTGACGTAGTCTCCCACATAACAGAATCCCTCCATACCAACTTTGCTACAAACACAACTCCTGATATTCCCCCCGCCGCCCGCTTACGTGGGAAGCACACAAATGTGTAATGAGGAGAGAGCTGATCGCGCTGGCATCCAGACAAAATAAACTAAGGGAAGCTAAACTCCAAACCCTTCAGGAAGAAATTAGAGCCCTTGAAAATAAGCACAAGCAGGACACGAGACTGAGCACCTACACAGAACTAATAGCCAAGAGATCAGCATTACAGGACATTTTAAACATCCATATCAAACACACTTTCCTACGCACAAAACACTCATATTACTCCAAAGGAGGCAAATGCAGCCGCCTACTGGCTAATGCCCTGAAACAACAAAGGCAATCGTCCTTTATATCTAAAATCAAGACCACCTCAGATTCACTGTCGTACAAACTCCCAGACATCATGACCTCCTTTCATGACTTCTACACCAAACTATACAATCTCAGGAACCCCCCTGCCCCCAGAACAAGACATAGAAAACTTCCTAGTGACCAGAATCCACCAAACAATCCCCAAGAACTTAGGGACCACTTAGGGACGTCCCAATTTTTCCCCTGAAGAAGTCCAATCTGCCATAAAACAACTTAAGATAGGGAAAAGCCCAGGCCCGGATGGGTTCACGGCCAAATACTACAAAACATTAATGTTGGCACTGACGGAACCATTCTTGCTAGCCTTTAACTCTCTTACACAAACTGCTTCTCTCCCCAAGGCTTCCCTAGAAGCCCACATAACCATTATCCCCAAACCGGGGAAAGACTTGACCAACTGTGGCAGCTACTGCCCGATATCCCTGATTAACCTGGATCTAAAATTATTCGCGAAGATCCTGGCAAACCGCCTGCGCCCCATACTGCAAACTCTGATTCACCCTGACCAAGCTGGATTCGTCCTGAACAGAGAAGCCAAACATAACACCACAAAACTCCTAAACCTAATTCACATTGAAAAACGTAGACCGATCGATAGCCTCATACTCTCCATTGATGCAGAAAAGGCGTTTGATTGCGTAGACTGGACGCTACTACTATCCACCCTAAGAGCACTGGGACTGGGTCCTTGCTGGATACGTTGGATCCAAGCTATATACTCCTCTCCTACTGCTCGACTCCGAATTAATGGCCAACTTTCAGATCCAGTTTACATAAGGAACGGTCCTCTTTATCCTTATCCTAGAGCCTTTTCTGAATGGGATTAGAGACAACCCAAACATCCAGGGCATATCTGTCCAACAAGCGGAGTACAAAGTCTCCGCTTTCGCTGATGACCTTCTCTTTACCATCCAGGTGCCCGAATCATCGATACCTCCCTTGATGGAGGAACTTTCCATATACAATGCACTCTCAAATTTTCAGGTTAACTTCTCTAAAAGTGAAATATTACCACTGACGATGACCCTTCAGATGCGTACACTCCTCAAGTCCAAACTCCCCTTCACATGGGCGGACAAGTCCACTGTATACCTCGGTGTCTATCTATCAGCCAACTTAACGTCCATCTACGATCTGAACTATGAGCCATTATACCAATCTATCTCCAAGGACGTACAGGCATGGCAAAAACCACACTTCTCCTGGCTCTGTAAAATAAACATCCTCAAAATGAACACGCTTCTGAAAATACTGTACCTCTTCCAAACCCTACCTATAGCCATTCCCAAAGCCTTCTTTACCAAGCTGCGAAGTCTCTTTACCTCATTCATCTGGGCGCATAAGCAACCCAGGCTCTCATATGAAGTGCTTACTAGACACAAGTCCTGTGGAGGCCTAGGGCTGCCCCACATGGAAAAATACTACAAAGCTATGATGCTAACAAGAGTATACGAATGGTCCCAACACCCACCAAACCTCCAATGGACAAAAATGGAAGCCGCTATATTTAAACTCCCCATCCATACGATCCCGTAGCAAAGGGCTCACCCCAAGCAGCTGCTCCTTGACCACGACACACATCCCACGATACCTCCCACATTCAAGACATGGGATAGACTGCGTGAAAATCTCAACATATCCCCACACCCATCCCCACTATACCCAATCACCCACAACCCGCACTTCCAACCGGGACTGATTGCCGCAAACTACCGAGGCTTCCGAGATACCTATGATCAGACGTACCTTACTCTAGGATCTATTCTAGATGGTGATTCACTTCGTCCGCTATCAGACCTCATACACTCGACTGCTCCATCTACAATGCAAACATTTCACACACAACTACATCAGTTCCTAAAGACAGACACACGACTCCTCTCTGATTTCGAAACACATTGCAAAACCCGGAACATTAAAACTAAGCAGCTCTCGACTTTCTACAAAATTATCCAGATAGACCATGCTGCCCACCCGCCTAAATTTACCGTCTCATGGACCGAGGACCTTAACACACAATTCACGACAGCACAATGGACATCCATATTTAACCAAATACATAAAACATCTCTTTGCACCGCAATCCAGGAAAGCGGTTATAAGAGAATCTCCAGATGGCACTACTCCCCAGCTAAACTACACGCTTTATTCCCCAACATCCCAGAGGTTTGCTGGACATGTGCCCAACCAGGTGTGTCCCTGGCCCACATCTGGTGGCATTGCCCTCAAACCCAAAGATACTGAACAAACATAGGAACAATGATTATGACGGTAACAGGAATAAAACTTCCCCATACCCCACACACTCTGCTATTCCTGTTGCTACCCCACACCCTCACCAACACGCAGAAAAGACTTGTAACCCATCTCCTCACAGCAGCCAACATCCTCATTCCAGTAAAATGGAAAAATCTCAATACCCCGACGATCAGAGAATGGATTCACAGAGTAGACGCGCTTAAAATAATGGAAAACATACAAGCCTCTGTTACCCACAAATTGTCCCTCTTCCAAGAGGTGTGGGAGCCGTGGACAAGATTCTTGTCAAAATCTAACATTGCCCCATGACACCTCAACCTAGAACCCCTCCACTCCCCACCAGTTCACAAGACAGTTAGAATGCCAACTGCCTGAATACTCCCTTTGATCTCCTCTTGATCTCCTCTCAGACTTCCCCTCCCCATCCCTTCCGTCCCCCCCCTTTCACCCTCTCCTCTCCCCCCTGCTCCTCCCTTTCTCTCTTTTTGCGATAAAACTCACAGACTCTTAACTCACAGACAGACACAGGTAACTACTAGCTGCTTAACACAAAGAGCCGATACCACCCGCCCACTACTAATCGACTCCTGACTCAGGAGACCTACAGCCAGCCCATGAGCTAGATACCCCCACTGTAGTATCTGCTAGACCCATGCTGGCCTGATCTCAAGCAAGTAGCCACCACCTAACCGGGAACCTTGCTCACAACCAACCCATATCGATAAATTGAACTTACCCATACCGTCCCTAAACAACAGGTAACCACTGAAAACAAATATAACCCACTGTAATATGAGTTACTCCAAACCTGCCAAGCTCATATAATTCAACATTGAGGGCGTCTGAAACCTGTACAGACGCCATAATAGTAGGCCAAATACACAAGTAACACCACTTCACTAGAGGGTACAACGTCCATGGTTCATAATGTACTATGTGGTATGTTTACCACCACAGTATTTTAAAGTGACACCAGCACTAGAGACCCAGGCATCACTTATCGTTTTGGCAATACCCCCTAGGTCAATACACATACTTTTTCGAGCAATTCACAACCCTCTTTGGCAGTAGGTACCTGACAGTTAACCACAACGATTTCCAACTGTTATGTAATGATGTATAATACACTGTGACCCCTGCGTGGGTCCCCTTCAATGATGTATACGGATTGTTTGTGAGAAATGCAAATCACCCACTCTAAGTATTCCTGTGATTTCCTTTTATGTAAACAATAAAAGTTTATAAAGAAAAAAAAAACAATCAGAAACAAAAATTTATCTTCTGAACAATCACATTTTAAATTTTTTTTTTATATATTTGTCTAGATATTCATATGGCTTGTGATCTTCCAAATTAACAGGGGAACCTACCAGTCAAAATGTAAGCTTTTTTAAAATTCTGAAATAAGATGCTGGGATAACAGAAATGTGTAACATTTGTAAGACCTGCTTGTTATACATTTATACAGAGTAAGCAAATAATGAGTTGCAATTGCCCAGAAGATTAATTGTGATTGGATCGCTGGTACCTTCTTCCAAGCAGAATACAGTTTAAATTCCAGTCACAGCCCGTGACTAGAAAATGCACAGATGGCAACTGATGGTAGCATCCTGTCTGCTGTAAAATACTGCCGCTATGAGCTTCTATCTGGATGTACTGTTGAAATCACTCTCACCTGATTTAAAAGCCAGGCATGGTATTATTATTTACTTCTATCTCTGGTGCCATCCAAGTAGATCTATAACATTGCTGTATGGAGAGATCATATACTCAATAACTAAGTGCCAATACTCCACAGCACTCCCTCAAATGCCCAGTAAATTCAAATATAATACAAAAATAGATTGCACGCTAGTCTACTCCTAAGAGATACACATACATGCTTTATTGAACCAAACCGGTTATAACACACACAAATGAAATAATCAAATGGAGCACCAAATCAAATTTGAAGTAACAACAATAAGGCAAATAAATTAAACAATGGTACTAACCACAACTTACTCAAGCCTATCCTGGCAGAAACACAAGCCCCTAATACCCCCAACATTTCGGCACCTCCTCGCTGCCTTTCTCAAGGGTGTTTGTATTGTAGCTTACCAATATCCATTTAAATACCCCAACATACAGCTGATGGCCATCAGACACCAATCCGATCCGATCCCGGAAGTGACATCATCACCTCCGGTTTCGGTCCGTGATACCATATCCCCCAATATACACCCACAAAAAATTGTACTAAATATCATTCATATTGCATAGTTTACATATGTCAAAAAATGCTATATGCACACCGGAGATAGAATACTCACACATCTCCGCGTGGACAAACTTGCGCATGCGCATCCACCCGCAATATCCTATACCACCATACCTCTTCCTGGAACCTGCCCGTCATTAAGATTTTGGCTATTATATCACGCATAAGCCGTCGCGCATGCACTGAACAGATACTAGTACCGCAACATATAATTAAGCTTTACTGGATAAGGGACATATATGGGATACAAACAGAAAACCAGTATAAGCTTATTAACAGTATTAATTACAATATTAACTGTGACTCATTACACATAAAACCACCACCAAATACGACTATATATGTAGAAGAAGCAATATAAAAGTAGACAAAAGGTACAATAGTTTAATATCTCTAACTCTATCTGCATATGTGCATATATACCTATATATAGGGAAAAAAGACCATATTACTAGATGATATAATCCATCATTAACAGAAAAACAACCATTAACAATGGTTCAAATAACAGTTTAGTTTACCTGTTAATATTCGTCATAATGAGCATCTGTACACCCAAAGTATAATACTAAATATCAAACATATATTACTAACTATACCATTAGTCACTCTACATAAAACATTTTTCACACATATAGCACCTATATAACAGAAGATGCCCTTTTATTATGATTATGAATATCAACGTAGTGGCAAATTCTTTTTATCTGTTTTCCAATACGTATGGGCAAATTGCCACTATAAATCCTACAAAGGTAATACAAGTAAAATATCCCATGGACATAGTATTAATTAGTACCATACCTCATTCTGATACTTAAAAAAGGCTAACAAGATAATAGTAGGCTATGGACAAATTGACCAGAAATCTATATATACACTACATGTAGCACTAAATAGTTGCTGCCCTGAGCACACATATATGTATCTGCTCTATTCAAAATAATTTTATCAAATGAAATTCTTCCAAAATTTCTACAAATGAAATTCTTCCATAATATTTTCAGACAGATCTCTACTGATGCCGTCCAATGCCATATCGATCATCCACATAACTCTTCTTGTCCAAAGGATATCCACTCTCCCAGATAAATGTCCTATTGCACCATAATGAAGCCTACAACAATAGAACAATAAAACCAATGCAAATACAAACTATACACAGGCAGAGAAATTACCAAAATTTGCAATAGCCTGACTATAAAAATGGAGAAAAATCTCTCTCCTCATTGAGACCTTTCGGGTATAGTGACTGCAGTTTGTATATCCAGTATAATTCAATCCAAGTACATGTCACATGTAATTTCATTATGACATCATGCAATGACATCACATAATACTTTTATCTGCAGCAGCACTTCCATTTGTGTGTGTCTGTGTTAATCTTTTCTCTGTTTGTACAAGTGGTTTCATTGCATGTTGCATTGTTGCTTACTCCATGCATAATTAACATGTAGAACTAGCAAATTCTATAGCTTTTACACACTTGATTGGACATTAAATGGATGTGCAAAACAATGAATGAGCTAGGCAAAAATTCTTTTTTTTTAAGATTTGCAGCCTGGTACTGATCAGAATTGGCAACATGGGAATAGATAACAAAAGAAGGTCACTTGGAGAGCGAAGGGAATGATAAGGTGTGTATTTAATTAAACAGTAAATGTAATCAGGTATAATTGTTAAGGGCTTTGTAAACTGGTGTCAGTAGTTTAAAATGGGTCCAAAAGGGTATCAATGCCAATGTAAGGACAGACAAACAGTGTGGTGTGAAAATAGCAGTAAGTCAGGATGATAAGCCACGAGGCAGCATTATTATTATTATTATTTTAGCCATGTATATAGCACCAACAGATTCCGTAGTGCTTCACAATATTATTAGAGTGGGGATTTAACTATAAATAGGACAGTTACAAGAGTATTGCCCTTTAGGAGAGAGCAAGAGACAGGTATAGAGGTTACTCTGGGAGGCCATAAGCTTTCCTAAAGAAATGGATTTTAAGGCACCTCTTAAACGATTGAAGACTAGGGGAGAGTCTGATGGCGGTAGGCAGGCAATTCCATAGGAATGGAGCTGCCTGCGAGAAGTCCTGCAAGCACGAGTTGGCCGTACGGGTGCGAGCAGCGCATAGGAGAAGGTCACGGGCAGTGCTGAGAGACCGAGAAGGGGCATACCTATGGATCTGTGAGGAGATATAAGTGGGGCTAAAATTGTTCAGTGCTTTATAGGTATGGGTTAGCACTTTGAATTGACTCTGATAGGATACAGGAAGCCAATGTAAGGACTGACAGAGAGGTGAGGTGTGAGAGGACCGACTAGAGAGGAAAATCAGTCTGGTCGCAGCATTCATTACAGACTGTAGCAGGGCAGTACGGCTATTGGGAAGATCAAATAGGAGAGAGTTACAATAGTTCATGCGAGAGATTACTAGAGCATGGGCAAGCTCTTTAGTGGCAGTGAGGTGAGAGCAGAAACCCTACTCCATCACCTTTATTTTCAGAGTTTCTTGGGTTGTGGGAAAATTGAAGACCAGGCAGGGGTAGCAGTGTCAGAGGGAGAGAGCCATGTTTCCATGTTTCAGTTAATGCTAGTATTATAGGGAATGAGAGTTGAAAAGATCATGCACAGCTGTGGATTTAGTAACACTGCAAATAGAGCGTGCATTCCAGAGGGCAGTGTGAACGGAGGATTTAAAGGAAGAGTAGCGTGAGATGGGTATGAGAGTGGAGTGATTTTTGCTCAGGACACCCAAACCTTGCAGTATGCAGCCCAGGTCCTCAGGGCCAAGGATTATCTCACGAATCTGCCAAGCACGCTGCCCTGAGCTGCCAGAACTCCTCCTTCAGCCACAATGGGAGGTCCATCTGGTCCGTAGCCGCTGCTGAAACTGCTCGTCATACTGCTACCACGCCAGGCTCCCGTACGTGTGGTACGCTTTCCAGATGATGTAGAGATAACAGAACAGGGAAGAACAGGTCCCCGGTGATTTCTCACCAATCACACTGGCCAGAATACAAAATGCCCGCAGCCAGTTGCAGAAGGACTTTGGAATTTTCCAATAGCACTTCTTCTTCTCATCCTCTTTCTTTTTTTTACGTCCTTTTTATCCTCCTCCTTGAAGTCGATATACTCTTCCAACGGCAGAAGTGAAAACACCTCGACAAACTCACCCTTCCAGATCCTCTCCTTCACGTCCACCTTGAGGTACACACCTAACGGCCCTGTGAAAGATACGTACACATTCTGTTGTGCTGCGTCTGGAATGCCCCCCCACCACCAGCATCTCCCGCTCGCTGCCTGACTCCTCAACTCTCTGCCACCAGGCCACGGCAACG